AAAAAATAATCAAATGGTAATTACATATTATATATTAACTTCAATTATTAATTTTATCTAAAGTTTCCAAATAAATAAATTAAGAATTAGATTGTAATGTATTTTATAAATGCTGAAATGGTAATTCTAACAAAAAAAAAAGATTTATATCATGATTATTTACTAAAATATCTATAATCATTCTAAAAAACTCCACATATAAAAAAACTTCATATATAATGTTTCATAATTTTGTAGAGAAATATTAAAATTTTGATATATAAGATTTTATTAATAAATTCCCATTGACTATAACTTAATTTTAAATATATATTTAATTCTTTTTGTAACACCACCTACTCGTATTGTATAAATGATGAGGCTAAAGACATCATCACATTTGTATATCAAAATAATGTCCTGTCTAAGGTAAATTTAAATCTTATGGAAGTGAGGACTATTTTTTAGGTTACTTTAAAACTTTAAAAGTATTTAAAACGTTTTTAAAAGAAAATCAAATGAATAATTTACAAAATTTGAACAGGGTATCACTATTTAACTTAAAGTATTAATATCCTTGAAGGCTTGACATGGTATTAGTATCAATAAGAGATATTAAATGTCTCTTTGCCTCACTGAAAATTTTGGGCAAAACTTTCGAGATAATGTTCTGAAATAAATTAATTCACGAGCTAATGGACTCCCAAAATTAATTGTTCAAATAGGGTGAAATCCACAGTGTTAGCTGTAGGTCGCCATGCACTCCGGGCGACCTACCCTTGCTCAAACAGAGAGAATGAACGTGTTGCATGGCACATGCACGTCCCAACACATAGGTCGCCATGCCCTCCGGGCGACCTTGTAGGTCACCATGCACTCCGGGCGACCTACCCTCGCTCGGCTTCCCTCGGATTCCCTCGCATAGCTCGCTCGGTTGCCCTCGGATGCCCTCGCATAGCTCGTTCGGATGGCCTCGGTCGGATGGCCTCGGATGCTCTCGGATGGCCTCGGTCGGATGGCCTCAGATGCCCATCGTGTTGGGACGTGCATGGCACATGCAATCTCTTGTAGCTCGCCCGGAAGACATGGCGACCTAGTAGGTCGCCCGGAAGGCATTGCGACCTACGGCCAACACTGTGGATTTCACCTTATTTGAGCAATTAATCTTGGGAGTGCTTTATCTCGTGAATTAATTTTTTCCAGAACATTATCTCGAAAGTTTTGCCGAAAATTTTGTTTGAAAAATGTTTTTCGTAAAATAAATTTTTTTTTTTGGAAAACGTTTTACAATGTGTGAAAAATATTATGTAAATCATTTTACATTACTTCATGAAATGTTTTAGAATTGTTTTATTATAAATATTAAATAAAATAAATAATATTATTTATCATAATATTATTATTTTTGAAATATTAGAATTAATTTATTCGTTATTATTAAAATATTACTTCTTTAATTTTATAATTAAAAATATTAAGATTAATACATTCTATTGAAATAAAAATAGGGTTAACTACATTGATGATTATTTATGTTTGTGTTTTGTCCACTTTTGGTCACTGATTTTAAAAAATATAAAATATGGTCACTTTCGCTTTTATTTAATTAAGATAAAGTCACTTTTGTTTTTCTCTGATTAAAATGTAGTCATCATGGGTTAACTGCTATTAACAATTAACTGAATATGTGACGTGATAGTTTATATAATCACACATTTGGTATGTATTATTTACATATTCTCTCAATTTAGTAATGCTTTTAAATAAATTTTAACATAAAATATATATTTCTAAATGAAAATAAATATTTTTAAATTAAGTTAATAATAAAATATATTTAATAAGTTAATATAAAAATATTTTTAAGTTAATATATATAAATATTATGAATTTAAGTATTTATACACTGAGATACAAAATATATGCATCATGTTGTCTACTTTAGACCAAGCAATGGTCTTGGCTTAATGTTGGATACATGTTTAGTTTCCTAAGTGATCAATGTTTGAATTTTTTTGCCCAATTTGCTTTCTTTTGTTTTTTTTTAACCAGATGGTGGCACATGTTTTGATTGGTGGAAATAAATATATTAAATTAAAATAAAATTAGCCTCCAACTAAATTGTGATACTGGCATGACATGTGACATCATTCAATTGAGGATTGAATTTATTTTAATTCATTAAAAGTAAGACTAAAGTGAGAGAATATATAGATAACATGAACCAAATGTATGATTATATCAAAATATTTAACTGTTGTTAACGACAGTTGACTCGGGTGACCACATCTTAATTAAATAAAAACAAAAGTGACAATATCTTCTTCTTTTCTTTTTTTTTAAATCAATGACTAAAAATGGTTAAAACACAAATATAAGTTATTATCCTTGTAGTTAACCCATAAAAATATTATAAATTATATTAATTATTTATTAAAGTAAGAGTATTATATTATATTTTGAAAATTATTAATTAATATATTTTAAATATCTTTATTAAAATAGTGTACTATTATACTAAATTAAATACATAAATAATATTCTTCATTATTATTAATTTAATAATATTATTTCTATAAAATTAGTAAATAATATAAATTTATTAATAATTTGTTATATATATTAAAATAAAATATATTATATTATATTATTATAATATTATTGAGTATATTTAAAAAAATATTATATTATATTATTATAAAATTATTAAATATATTTTTAATATTTTAATCATTAATATTTTAATAAAATGATATTAAAATATTATAATAATATTAAATACATAAAATAAAATTATTTTGAGTATTTTTTTAAGTGAAAAATTCAAAAAATGACTTATGAAAAATAAGACCGTAAGTCATTTTGCAGAAAATGCAAAAGAAATTATGTTGACTAGGAAAATGTTTTCCATTGACCTATCGGTTTTTCTTCAGGTAAAAATTGGAAAATGAGAAAACGTTTTCTAAAAAATATTTTACTTGAAACAAAAAGACGTTGATATGCATTAAATAATATTAGTGATAAAAAAATGTTACTTTTTAGAAGTTCTCAGCTTAAGTAATTATATTTGTAGTATGTGTATTCATTGTGGGTCACAGCCATCGGGTGTAGCATCTCTGTCTTCTTTTTAATGCATTTGTAGTAATTTCCATGACTTCTACTTTTTATACGTTTCTGTCATTGGAATTTATGAAGGCTTAGAACTAGGGTAGCGGAGTAGTGTTGCCTTAGTTTAGGTTTTAACCCATTTGACTTTATTCCTTCTCGTAGCTTGCTATCGCTGACTTCTGTGTATCATTCTCTTCATGTTTCCTCTTTTTAAATTTAGCCAGGTCTTACGTTTCTGTCTATATGCAGAGATTTTTTCGCAGGGATTACTTTTCATTTTAGACGCGTATATGAAGATTGCATAAGAAGATTGTTCAACTATGTATTTATTTATTTATTTATTTATACATGCATTGTATTTTATCTTTATTTTTAATTTTTCTAACTGCCGGAGGTCTTCTACGGAAGCTGCTCTCAACCTGGCGTTAGGGGCAGCCTACTACCCTACCTCTCCCTTATCCCATTACATATGGGAATAAGGTTTTGTTATTGTTGTATTCATTGTCAATTGAGCCAAAATATTATAAACAATTACTACTTTATAATAACCTTATACTAATAAAAAAATCTATTAATATCATTATCATGCTGTGGTATTGATATTTGATTGTTAATACTGATAATAAATTCAAGTTTTATATTTTCATACATTTAATAAAAGAAGTTTATAGGATATCGACACAAATTATCAATACCTTTTACCCCTAAATGCAGAATTTTGACATTTTTTTTAAAATTATTTCAAAACATCTCTTATTATGCTTCAACTCTTTTTAACATATTTTACACAAAATATCACGCATTAATCAAATTTTTATGCTAGTTCAACAAATTAATTTTTAACTTGCTTTGCATATTTGATGCATAAAAAGATTGATTAACTGTGTTGAAACCATTTTGAAGAGCACGTTACGTGGCCTGGAAATCGCGCTAATAGAGGATCCACACGGTTGGCTTTAATCTGATGAAGAAAGGAGTATAGTAGCATAATGCTTAAGCAAATAGATGGTAGGTTTCACAGACGACTTCGACATCCCTCAAATAGGGTTATGGCGATGTTTCCAAGGAGCCTTGTCTTTGTAGAAAATGGTTTTTAAAAGATAAATATTTTTATCACATGGAGCTGAGGGAGACTGCTGTGGAAGTATTGTAATACATTCACAATGATAAAAGTATCCTTTTTTTTATTGAATTATTATTTCAATTTAAACTTTTTAAAAAATATTTTTGTCCAGACGTTTCCGGATCTGTGAACGAGAATAGTTGGTTCATAAGCGACCCAAAAATAAAAATATTTTTATTTTAAAATAAAACGTTGAAAATTAAAATGTTTTATTAAAAAAGTTAAAGTGATTTAAATTTTAAAGATTTTTTCATCTTAAAATAAAATAATATGCAAACTACATCGTTGAAGTGTTATATTTGAAGGGATTCAAACTCAGGACCTTTGAATCTAAAGGTTAAAGTTTAATCATTAGATCAATTCGAGCTTTTATTCTATTCTAATAAAAATAATATAGATACCAAATTACATAAATAATTTATAATTTAAAACTAAAATACCATGGTTTATAAATAATATATTTTTATATAATTTATAATATAAAAAATAAATTTCGGACATTTCAAAAACAGATTCCATTTCCCTGTTCCCTCAAAAAAGTATTCTGAAGCCCAAATCTTTATTTCATTTGTTATTGTTGCCGAATCAATCGCCACCGTTCACTCCTCTTCATTGCGGAATTCTTACTACCGATTACTCCACCCTCATTGAATCCTAAATATTTAATTTAGGCAAACTAATTTTGGGTTTTTATTTACCCAATACTTCATCTTGGAATATTTGTATTTTATAAGATTTTTGTTTATAGTTGTCGGTATTAGAGGCAGTCCAAAAAGATTTCATGAAATAGTAGAAGGAACTTGATACTTCATTGTTGGTGCACACACACACACAGAAACAACCTCACTTAAGTCCCCAAACTAACACTTATTTAAATTACAACTAGACACGTTTTTCAGCACAATTTCCTCTAGGCCCTTCTCTTCTTGCGTGACAAGCTACTTGGACAGGGAATTCAGAGCTTAACTTGCCTGCCAGAAACCCAGCTGAATGGAACACTGGGTGTTTCCGTAGTAGCCTTCAATTGAGCTCTCTCCTCCAGCCTTCTAATTCTCGGTGCAAGACGGCACACGAAGTCCTGAGCTTCACGGCCTTCGGGCGAAAGTCCGGTGAGTTGCTCCACCTTCCATCTCTCCACCAGATACTCAACTATATCGGCATAGTCCTTGACCGTGTAAACCCCGATTCGTTGCGCAACGGATGCATAGTGGTCGAAGAGGTTTTCGTCTATGCCATCGTACATCAAGTGGGCTGGCATCGATATTTTCTTCCTCATCATGTCGGCAAAGGACTGGACGGATCCGTCGGGATCGATCTCAAAGAGCTTTTCGAGGATTTTAGTGTATGCTGTCTCGTGACGCTTTTCGTCTGCAGCAATCGAACCACATAACTGAGCCAAATTCATGTCACCATGCACCTTGGCTAGCCTGGCTGTATTCCCATGGGAGATAAAAGTCGCCCTTTCTTGGAAAGTTGTGTAGATGAATCCCAAGTAAGGGCTATTCTCCGTACCCGGATCCTATAAAATATACATCTCAGTATGCAGAAACGACCTCAGTTGAAGTATTCATTTTGCAATTTAACTAACAAGGTAAATCATGTGGCCAAAGCATCTTACCATTCCGGATCCGATCAAATACTGAATCGTCTTCTCAACTTGCCTCATGTCCACCCTCCCACACAAGTAGAGATACTTGTTGAGTAGATCAGTGTGCCGGTTCTCTTCGGCGGTCCAAGCCCTCGTCCAAGTAGCCCAAGAAGTAGGGCTAGCACCAGTTTCATCACGAGTTCCATCTAATGTATTAAGCATTGTTTGGTAGGTCGGAAGGGCTTCCTCCGTGATCATGTCACCGACCAACACGATGAAGTACTCGTCTGGAATCTCATTCGCCCGCGCTCTGAGCTCTCGGACTTGGTCCTCGAATCCGTCAGATGAAGGATCAGGAAGAAAATCCTTAGGCTGCCAACATTTATCAACTTGTTTAAGATGAATGAGAATGTTATCCCTAGCCCAATCATCCAAAGATTTAAAGATCTCGATCTTCTGGGGAGGCATGGTGTGTGTGGCCTGATGCACCAGCTTAGGTGCCATGAACGGCTGCTTCAGTGTTTCTGCCTCTCTGCATCAAGTAAAAAAACCAATTGGGGATTACATTCTTATTTTTTCTTTAAACAAACTTATAAAAGCATAACTCGAAAGATTCAAATCCGAACAATTATATCTATAAGGTGCATATACGTTGTCAATAATTACTATAAATCTATCCCAAGTCAAACCACACTAACTTAACTATTACACTAACTAAGAAACTCAAATTATAAAATAAAACAATATTATATATGTACCAAAAAAATATTATCTTATACAACAATAATTGAGGTTTTTTATGATGCAACATTTTTATTATTTTAAAAATATAAATTAAGAAAACGTAACAATATTTTAAATTAAGTTGTAAGATTAAAAAACACTATTAATGTACCAATTATGTTTCCTTTAAAAAAATACCAATTGAGATTTCATAAATCGAATGGGATCAATTTAATTAAAAAATCAACTAAAAATATAAGATAGAATATTTGTAAGATAAATTAAAAATTAAAAACAATGTTTTCTCTACTTTGTCTTATCATTACTTAATAATAATTAATATCATTACAATAGATTTTTTATTTTGTACTTCAATATATTTGTCGGGCTGATTTTTTACAATACAGTTGAAAAAAAATTATTAGATTAGTACATTCGAGAAATTATTTACTCGAATAGGATGAATATTATAATACACCCAATTTGCATGGAGGTTCAAAGTAGCATAATGGTCCTCCTCAATTTTTTATATAAAAACTAAACCTTAATTAAAAATTAAAATATAAAAAAAAAAAATGAGAGACGCATTACACTCCATGCGTCTCCCTCAAATTTATATTAAAATCGAGTTTTAATCTATGTCTTAAACCGTACTTTTAACAAATATCCTATTTCAAAAAATAATCTCAACTCATCATTATTCGAGCTAATAAAAAATTCAAACACATTATATAAAAGTTTAGTCTAAATATATTAATTCTTTTACTAAATTTACCAAAAGTTTGGTGTAATGGTTATGTAATGATTATCTTTTTATTTTTTATTAAAATTTTCTATTAAGGTTTTTTTCATTATTAAATTTTTTTATTAAAGTATTTTTCATTTATTTCTTCAACATAATAATAATTGTTTGAATTTATTTTTTTCGATCCACCGCCGTCCACCGTCCGATTGTTTTGATTTTTTAGTATGTTGTTCGTGTTGGCCTTGCGCAACTTTTCACCATTCGAAACGTTGATCGGAGATCCCGATCTCTGTAAAGAAGACAAAAATCGTTCGGATTTATTTTCTCCTATCCGTTGTTGTCCACCGTCCGATCGTCCTGATTTTTCAATATGTTGTTCGTATTGGCCTTGTGCAACTTTTCACCGTTCGGAACGTTGATCAAAGACCCCGATCTTCGGCGAAAATCCGACAGAATGCAAGAAACATTTTTTTTCTCTTCAATTCTTCTCTCTCCCGTATACTCCTTCTCTTTAATTTTTATGATGAATTTTAGTATAATAGATAATTTAAAATAATAGATAGTGAATTTTTTAGTAGGATTTTATTTAATGGGTAGCGGGTTTTTTGTGATGATTGTTTAATAGGTAGTGAGTTTTTTAGTGATGCCAAAAATTGGTTTAATCTAGTAGGTTAAGTAAATGGTTGTTTGTTTGCCTCTTAGTAGGATCATTCAGCGCTGAATGTTAAATCGTTCAGCATTCAGCGCGTTTGTTTTGCACTTCTGAATGATTCAGTGCTAACTGATTTAGCAAAACAATGCTGAATGATTCAGCACAGAAGTACATTCTGAATCATTCAGAGCCAATTATCAAACAACATGTCATATTTAGAGTCAAACCATTCAGAGTCTCTGAATCATTCAGCATTTAAATCATTCAGCGCTTAATTATTCTGAAATAAACAAAAAATCCCTAAATCAATCTACCAAGATTTACTAAACTTACAGGTTAAACCAACTTTTGGCACCATTAAAAAACCCACTACCTATTAAACAACCATCAACTAAAAACTCATTACCCATTAAATAAAACCCGATTAAAAAACTCATTATCTATTATTTTAAATCATCAACTACATTAAAATTCATCATAAAAATCAAATAGAAGAAAAGAGCATACGGAAAAGAAAAGAATTGAACAGAAAAAAGAGAAAAAAAAATATTTCTTGCACTCGATCGGATTTTCGGCAGTGATCGGGATCTCCAATCAACGTTTCGAATGGTGAAAAATTGTGCAAGACCAACACGAACAACATACTGAAAAATCAGGATAATTGGACGATGGACAACAACCGATCGAAGAAAATAAATCCGAACGATTTTTGACCTCTTTACGAAAATCAAAATATCCGATCAACGTTCCGAAAGGTAAAAAATTATACAAGACCAACAGGAAAAACAAATTAAAAAAATAGAACGATCAGACGGTAAACAGTGACAGATCGAAAAAAATAAATTCAAACGATTATTACCATGTTAAAAAAATAAATAAAAAAATTTTAATAATAAACTTTAATAATTAAAAAAACTGAATAAAATTTTTTAATAAAAAATAAAAAAATAAGCATCACATAATCATTACATTAAATTAAACTTTTGGTAGGTTTAATAAAAGAAGTAGTATATTTAGACTATCTAAAAATTTACCCCATATTTGTCGTGTCTTCTATCTAATTTTTTTTATTTTCTACTTTTTCTTTCTTTTTCTTTTCTATGTGTCGTGTCTGTTTTCTTTCTACTTATATTTCCTATGTATTTACCACCTACCACCGGCCAGAACATGTCGCCGGAGCTTCTTTTTCAGCTCGACTTTGGGATATATTTTTGTGGGAACTACTGATCTGGTACCTGGTCCACCACACAACCGGTTTTTGGCTGCCGACAGCATATCGGTGCTTCGATCTACTACTGGTTGCTCCGATCAACGCCTTTTGACGATGAAAAACCCCATCGCGGGTAAGTTCATCCGTAACTTCGCCGGAATACGGCGAAAACCAAAATTAATAAAAACGACGAAAGAACAAGTTTGGAAGTTTTTAAATTTTTTTGCAACAAAATGGTCACATAAACTGTGTTAACTTCTTGTCACTTGCAAACGAATAATAAACGCCAAATAAGCTATTTCAAAACTTCATTCATCCCGCAAAGAAAAATAACACCAAGCATGCCGTAAGATCCTAAGAGATCACCAAATTTTGATCATTTTACACAAATATGCATACATGAAACGAAGACCCAAGGCCAAAAACATGTAAAAGCTAAAGATAAGGGGAGAGATCCATATTTTAACAAGCAAAAAACGAAGTAATAAGTACAAAAATAAAGGAAGGAAAGAAGAGACTTACTTGGAGCGAGGGGGGACAGTGGAGACCATAGAAACCTTGGGAGATCTAAGGGTGGCCATGGGTGGAAGACCAAAAGAAGGTAGTTTCTTAGTTTGAGAAACCATGGGGGTGAATTGAAGAGCCATTTTGCTTTGCTTTGGGGCGACGATAAAATCTATGCGTGTGTGTGTTCAGAGCAGCTAAGTCTCAATGGAGTTGTCCATTTAAACTAAAAAACACTGACAGTGGAAGACTGACTTTGGTTGTTTCAACATTGACCCTAAAGTTTGTTTTAATTACTGGTCTCCCATTACTTTTTAGTTTTGTTTAATGTGGTTGGTGACTCAATAATGATAGACACTCTCCTCTTAATATTATCAATTTAGCACTATTTTTGATACGGTGATAATAAAACGTGGATCGTCAGTCACATCTTTGTGGGTTCTATTCGAGTTGGCGCTATTTAAGAAAATGCGTGAATGGTCATCTGCGTCTTTGCTGAACGTATGACACGTACGAAAGGAGATGATTCTTCCATTATGCACGTTGAATTATTGGGTACTCCATTATTACCCGAGCCTGAAAACTTAACTTTTTAACGATCCTCTCCCCGATAAATAATCTCTTTGAATGCAAACATTACCGCACACAAATTACTTGCTTATTCTGACTTCTATCAAACTAAGTATATTTTGTTATTGTTTTTATAAGGTAAAATTATTTTTTATTATATTATATTTATTTTTATTTAATTATTTGAGTAAATTTTATTGTATTAATTATTTTGTATTTTTTACGGTTGTAAAATTGGAAGGCAGAATCATACCTCGATACATTTTGTAAATACGGTAACAATATAAAATTGTGTTTATTTAAATTATTGTGAAAATTTTTAATTTTTTTGGATTAGTTTATATTTTAATTCATATACTATTAATTTAATTAGGTGTAATTCAACTATTATTTTTGTAGATATAAGACTCTCAATCTTTCAAACTCTCAAAATGACGCATATTTCAGCTATTGTTTACTATGATGGAGAAATTCGGGAACATGAAATCGACGTTGTCTTCGCATCAAATCATTCTGTTAGAATATCCTTCAAGAGAAACATCACTTTTAAGGAGTTGATCACTAAAATTTCAATGAATGTTCATGTTTGAAGTACTAGAAGAATGTCCTCACTTTAGTACATATTTTCAACCGCAATATTTCTATTAACTTATACAGCGTTCGAACTCTCCAACGATGTTGATGTTGCTATGATGGTTGATTATCAAAATCAATATTCAGACGCCGATACACAGATGTATGCGATATTTGTTGAAGTGTCTACGGTTCGTGGTATGTCATTGTACTCCCACTATGGGCTGGCCAAGTTGACATCCCAACTCAAGTAATGTGTAATGATTTTAACTCGTTAATGGGAAATCCACATCATGGTGTCATCCCATCAAGTTCAATGGGGAGACATTCATCAGCAACTTGTTACGATCTGTACTGAGGTGGTTCCACAAACAATCCATATGAAAATATCGCTTCCAGTTCAAGGGGAAGGCATTCATCTGCTAATTTTTTTGACATGAATATGCAGATGCCCTCGACGCAACAATCTGTGTTGTACTCATTTGACACGATTCCTTCAAGTTCTAGGGGGAGTCATTCATCTGCGAGCTTCTACGACCTCAATATCGAGATGCCTTTAAGTTAAAGGGGAAGGTATTTAACTATCAGCTTGTTCGACCTAAATGTCGATCGTTCCACTACTAAAAATATGTCTTCCAATGTGTCCAGCGTAATAACATATACAACTGGATGGTTCGTGTATCGAAGATGAAGAGGAAAAATAATATATGAGAAATGGCAGTATACAACGGTCCTCACACATGCTATTCTGGAAGGATCAACCAGGATCATTCCATCTTGGACTCTAACATTATCTGCCAAGCCATCATGCTCAATGGTCAAAGCAAGCTCCCATATAGCTATTGTGGTGTTGATTTTAGTTATACAGTCGCAATATGGGTACACCATCTCATACAGGAAAGCATGAAAGGTAAAGTTGTTGAGTTAATCGATCGATGGAATCGGCCAAGAGGGGGTGAATTGGCAATTAAAATTTTGGTGGAAGCTTTTGCAGAAAATTGAAAGTAATTGCACATCGATTTACAGTGGTTCGACTTTCTCAACAAAGTCTACGTACACTACCTTAGCTATCCACACTAAGGATTTTCCAACAAATTCACTAATTTGTTCTTTCTTTTGAGGCCAAAGAGATAACCTTACAACTCCCTCAAGAATTATACCCCAATTCTTGAGAACACTCTTTCTCAAAGAGAATATTACAAATTTCGCAAACTTACAAGAAAACCTCACAAGGTAAGATGTTTGCACAATTCTAGAACAAAGAAAGAACACTCAAGAATAAATATAATTGAGCACAATAAGTGTTCTTGAAAGAAAAATGAATATTGAATGAAAAATAGGCTTGAAATGCTCAAATTTGAGGTTTGATGCTTTCTCTTTGATTCTCTCTTGATTCTAGTTGCTTGTTGTTGATCAATGGCTTCTAAGGTTTTTTAAATACACCTTGAATCACTTCTGAACGTTGAGGATCATTAATGAAGTTATTGGAGCCGTTTAAGTGTGAAAACAATTCATATTTCTGCTTGGAGCGTGGGGGGAATCGGTACCCCCTCATGGGGAATCGGTTCCCTAAGTGTAAAATTCAAATATTTCGACCGTTGATCAGGGGGGAATCGGTTCCCTCCGAGCATACTGAAATTTCTCAGAGCCAAACCATTCAGGGGGAAATTAGTACCCCCTTGGGGGGAATCGGTTCCCTTTGAGCAATCTGGAATTTTTGGCTTTGAAATGGTTCGAAATATTTTGTAAAATTGTTTTGAAATTATTTTAAGATTAAAACTTAATTTTACACTTGAGTAAGGATTAAAAATGATATTTGAAAGATTTGGAGTAATATTTTGATATTCGAATAATTATATCGAATATACTTAGAAAATCTTTTTGGAAAATCTTAAAATTCATTTAACTTAATTTTTTATATCGAAATATCAAAATATTTTCAACAATCTCCCCCTTTTTGATATAACAAAACATTTTAGTAATTTTAAGATTTTATTTTGAAATCAAGTTTGAAATTACTCCCCCTTACTCTAACACTTCTCCCCTTTAAAACACTTTTAACATTTCTCCCCCCTTTTTGTTAAATCAAAAAGACTTTTAAAAGATATTAAACAAGGTTTTGAAATCATTCAGCCAACTGATTATATATAGATAAATAGCTTAAGCTGCTAAGATCACAATCAAGAGAAACGTTAGCCATTAGTTTCATAATCAATATTCATAAACATGTAATGGATAATTGGTAATATATGTCTAAAGATGCAAAATAAACACGAAATACAAATCAAATGTATTAAACATAAGTTCGAACAACCAAAAATAAACAATCCAAAAGCATTCAAAATGTTTTAACAATTTTAAGTTTTAAATTCAAACCAAACACAACTAAAACAAAGCAAGATCTATTCATCCATAGAAGGATCAGGAGGAGGAGGAGGATATCGAGCTCTCATCTCAAGAGAGAGTCCATCCAAACGATTGTTCATCTCCCGTTGTTGAGCTCCCAAGGAAGTGAGCTGGGACTCAATGAAAGAAAAACGTGATTTCATGGATGTAGAATGTAAGTTAAATGTCTCCATAAAAGATTGAAAATAGGGAGGCATTTGATCCGCTTGTTGTGCTTGCTCAGCGAGCTGATCTGGTTCGTCTTCATCGTCAGAATCGTCATCAACTGTTGGTGGTGCTTGTGAAGAACTAGCTCCCGGAGTAAGTTCAGCAGATCGAACCCATACAACGGTTTCTTTATCCTTGGTCCATCCCGATCTCGTTAAGGAAAGAAGATTGATTTGTTTTTTAAGAGGAAAGGAGGCATCTAGACCAACTCTAAGCTCGACTTTAGAAAAAGATTACTCAGAATGCAACCATAAACTAGAGAATAACAAAGTTTCTTATTTGGAACTAAGTTTACGGTTTCAACAATTTCAGCAAAAATAATCTCAGGAAGATTTATTTTAATATTGTTTTCAAAACAATGTAACCACCAAATATCCAAAGCTCTAAGAGTAGAGTAACGACCTCCGGATGGTCGAAACCACCAAGTGATCATTAGATGAAGAAAACGCTCATAAAGATCTAAGACACTTGCACTATCGCTTCTTTTATATCGAGAACCTAATAACTGTTTTTCATTAGATAAACCATCATTATCTAATCCTAATGCATTGGCTATGTAAGGCGGGTCAAGATAGAAGTATTGTCCTAGAAGGTAGGAACGAACTCCTATAGTTTCGGATTGATTTCGGTTTTTAATACAAACAACATTAGAATAAAAGATACGAACAAACTGATGGTAAACCTTAGGTTCAAGATCACAAAGTTTATCAAATTTCCATTCTAGTAAGATAGGGAAATATTTAAAATTGATATCAATCATAACTTGAAGAGATGGGATACGTTTTTCTCTAATTTTATACGAGTCAAAATACTGATAATACCAAAAACGATGATTTCTAGGACCAGGTTGATTGAAGCAAGAGTTTTAGATAGTTAAATTAGGATCAATGGGATTAGGAATAGGATTTGGTGGGATAGGAGGAGGGTTTGATTGACGGTTTGAACGACTAGACCTAGCTCGTTTTGACATGGTTTAAGAAATAGGAATAGAATGGATAACCTGCAATTTAGAAAAAAAACACATGTATGCAATTCAATCAATCCCAAAACTCAATTGAGTCCTCAATATTTCAAGGTTCTATAAAACAAATCTAATGGGCAAAGTTTTGAAAATTATTGAAAATAATGTTTGAAAAACTATAATATGTATAGTTAACATGTAAATAACAAAATTAAATCAAAACACAACAATTTAATTTTTTTTTAAATATTTCAAAAATTATTTGAAAAGTTGTGAGATTTTGATGAAATTGGTTGTAAAATATAGTTTCTAAACACTAAACAATCAGTGCCCAATCATTATTTCAATCTAGAACTAAGTAAATCTAGTCTTATGTTCAAAAATTGACAAAATAGAAGTTTTAGAAAAATACCTTGAAGATTTTCGGATTTTGTGAGAATGTGATGATTTTTGCACTAGTTTGATGATTCCAACAGGTTTAGGAATTG